TGGGTTTATTTCAATAGTTCCCCTGTTGCCAACAACCATTACTCGTCCCCCATAAGACAGAAGATTCAAATCCTTGCTAAGATTTACATTAGCCAACATTTCGATAATCACATCAATTCCTTTCTCACCGACAAACTTCTATATAATAAAAGAGAATGTAGAGGGAGACGACAGGTGAAGAACTATAAAATAGCTCTTACATGTAGCAGGTGCTGTGGAAATGTGTTTCAAATGACACAGAAGATGCTGTATTTTTAAGATCAACAATGCAAATTTTAAAATGACCTAATTACATGACGATGATGTAATTCTAAGACACCAGCCACAACATCTACGATGATAAAGATTTGTACAAAATGAATTGCTGTGATGAAAGAAAACTTGCTTGGAATTTTCAGGTGCTAGAGTCCACTGCAGGATGAAAACACTTTTCCTTAGCTCAAAATTTTCTGTCTTCAAAATGAACTTTCATAAAGAAGCAAAAAACAAATCAAAAATCCAAAACCCCCAGGGATACTCATTTTTATTACAAAAACAAAAAGCAAAAGAAAGCATTATATAATTCATCCTCGCAACCGAAACACTTGTGCCCCTTTAATATTCTGAAATAAAAGTTTTTTTAAAAAAAATCATTGCTGTTTGGTTTTACAGCAGTTTTTTTTTGGGGGGGTGGTGGTGCTGGTTTTGTTCTAAATGGCTTACAAATTTGCCTGAAACACTAATTCCTTCCTTTGGGGCTTTTAGATGTTTCCTATCACCCAAAATTTGCTCTTCAAAAAGCATACACATATAATATCAAAATGAATCTACATTATATTCATTTTATTTTAACCAAAAAAAAAAAGAAGAAGAAGAAGAATACCCGTGCCAAGGATCATGGCTGGGTACCAGGAACGCAAAGATAAACACACAGACCTCAAAACAAAGCTGCAGAGAAAGACAGAGAATATGAAAATCTGATGGACAGCAAAGGTCAGACCAAGTTCTGCAGAGGTGATAACCTGGACACTGGGCGAGGAATAATAATTTCCTATGTGAAAAGGGAAGGAACATGAGCAAGAGAGGCTGGATATGAGGCTGTCGGTAGAGATGGAAGCAACAGAAGAGTGAGGCTGTGAGAGGGAGAGCCCAGGGCGGGCGACAGGGGAGCTGGAGTGAAACCGGCGAGGAGGGGCTGCAGGGTGGTGGGTGAAGGAGAACGGTCAGGGGGCGGAAGTACAGCGATGCAGGAAGGCAGGGCTGAAGGACCTGGCCTCTTCCTCTGCATTTCCCGTCTTCCTTCATGTGGAGGCAAAGGAGGCAAAAACGGCCCTCCTTACTGAGCTCCGTTTTAATTATTTCTCAAGACATTTTTCCTTTTTTTTTTTTTTTTTTTAAGAAAGGAACCCAACAACTCTGGACACAGTAAAAAGGATAGAAAGAGATATTAGCCAGATTATCAGTAAAGGTCAGGGCTGGAAAATTTCAGTCCTAAATGAAGTCACAGTGGTGAAAGGAACAGAGTGGAAGAGGCGCGTCTGAAAGGTGTGTCCCGATGACACTGAGGGAATGGAGCACCCACCGTGCCAGGCAGGAGAGAACCGCGACCAAAGGACAGGAACAGAAAACGAAACAAGGAAACAGACGGGGTGGCAACGTCTAATGAGCTCATGGCATGAAGAAACTCAGCTCAAAACTAGGTTTAGAAACCAATGCACAGGAGACTTGACAGGAGGA